CCTGCTGTGTCATGGTTTAGTAGACTATGGTGATTCTCTACCTTAAATCTTCCTGCTGTGTCATGGTTTAGTAGACTATGGTGATTCTCTACCTTAAATCTTCCTGCTGTATCATGGTTTAGTAGACTATTGTGATTCTCTAACTTAAATTTTCCTGCTGTATCATGGTTTAGTAGACTATTGTGATTCTCTACTATAAATCTTCCTGCTGTATCATGGTTTAGTAGACTATGGTGATTCTCTACCTTAAATCTTCCTGCTGTATCATGGTTTAGTAGACTATGGTGATTCTCTACCTTAAATCTTCCTGATGTGTCATGGTTGTGTAGACTATGGTGATTCTCTACTTTAAATCTTCCTGCTGTATCATGGTTTAGTAGACTATGGTGATTCTCTACCTTAAATCTTCCTGATGTGTCATGGTTGTGTAGACTATGGTGATTCTCTACTTTAAATCTTCCTGCTGTATCATGGTTTAGTAGACTATGGTGATTCTCTACCTTAAATCTTCCTGCTGTGTCATGGTTGTGTAGACTATGGTGATTCTCTACTTTAAATCTTCCTGCTGTATCATGGTTTAGTAGACTATGGTGATTCTCTACCTTAAATCTTTCTGCTGTATCATGGCTGGGTAGATTATGGTGATTCTCTACTTTAAATCTTCCTGCTGTAGCATGGTTTAGTAGACTATGGTGATTCTCTACTTTAAATCTTCCTGCTGTGTCATGGCTGTAGACTATGGTGATTCTCTACTTTAAATCTTCCTGCTGTGTCATAGTTGTGTACACTGTAGTGATTCTCATATTGCTGTAGCCCTTCACCTGTAAGAGGGTGACACAACCTCCATGCATAGTAATCCCTGTGAGCACATGATCATAGGCTCATTCTTGACATGGAAAAGAAAATTCACCAAGAGATTTACAATAAAGTATATTGGGTAAATCCAGTGCTAGTGGTAATATGTCACAAGGGAGGGCAGAATGTGTAGTGTGGCTAGGGCATTAGGCCATTCCATCTTCATGAAAATACATGAAATAAATATTGTAACAAAGTGGAGGGAGAAGGAGCTCACACTTGTGCTTCAAGGCAGATCCATGTCCCATTCAGCTGGACATTTCTGCTAGAAATTGCTTGAGAGATACTGTCATGTCTTACTTTTTAAATGAGGGGTGGGCCCAACCAGTTTCTTACCAGGGTGATGCATTTACAAAGGATATCAACATCCCCAGTGGCTTGAGACTGGGGAAGTAAGGGTTTCCCCATACTCCACTAAAAGAACATGCATGGAGGAATAAATATCAGGGAGAAAATCAATGAGTGTGTATAGACTGTTGACATCAGGCACAACCATCTGGAATTGGGTTCCCCTGAGAGAAAGTACAAAGGGTAACAACAACTAAAGACAGCAAGTGCAAGCCAGAAGTAAGGGCAGTACTACACCTGGTGCTGTTTTTTATTTTTCTTGTTTTTGTAAAAGGTGCAGAACCATCCATGCCAAATGTAGATTTATTTTCTGCCATAGAAGTCTAGAAGAAAACCCCATCTCAACAATGGCCACTAAACAGAAATAGATAAGTTTACTACTTTCCATTCTCCCCTGCTTGAAATAGATTTCAGCTAAGTATTCTCTGTTAGACGAAGCTGGCTACTTGTGCAAATTCTGATGGCAGCAAGCATAAGGAATGTAAGCTGTAGTTCCTCATGTCACATTTAATCTGGTGAATCTTGCCTCCTCCTAATTTTTTAAGAACTTTCAATGTGTTGCAATGTGTAGAAAAATCATGATACACAAATAGACGTGTCATGAAATGTATGAATAACATAGATATGACTGAAAAACACAACAGATAAATCACACCACACTAGAGCTTCTGAGTAGACTGCAGATTGGCAACTGATGCAAGGGGAAAACCAGAGGCACAGTAAACAGACCAATGATGTAAGATGAATGTGTTAAATGTAGTCCACATAACAGCCAGTAAGATCTTATCCAAAAGCTGGCAATAAAAAGAGACAACAGAGGCAGTGACACACAAAATTTGCACAAAGAGATGCAAAAAAGTGTATAGAGATACTCACCCAAAGAAGAATATTCAAGATGAAAGAGTTAGTAAATCTAACCAATTAAAGTGGAATGGACAAGACACGAAAGGAGGAGGTAAAAATACCGAAGGTGGTAGTAGTATACCTCAAGATGCATTAGAGCAATTTAGCAACCACAACAGAGGGATATAGAGAGAAAGACAGAAACTCAAGGGCAGATAAGGGAATGCAGGCATTCAGTAATTATAGCGGTTTATGAGTGAAAGCAAAGAGAGAAATGTAATAATATTCCTCATCCTGAATATCTGCCAGATGGAAATAAGATTGAACAAGCTGATAACATTAAGTATGAGCTTGTTAAGAACAAATTGGGAATTGTAAAGAGCAATAAAACTCCTGGGCTAACTATAGATGTAGATGCAGTTAAATATTTAAAGGAGTTCAAGAGAAAACATAAAAATATTTGAATGATAAGGGATGGGTTTTTGGTGTTTAGTTTTCACAAGTGGATGGGATAGGCTTAGGTGGACCAAAAGGTTCCTTGTTATCCTTTAACTCTTTCCCATATGGGGTTAATCAATGTGATTGATCATGTAACCACAAAGTAGCAATCAGTGTTTCTATACTATAACTTTTAATATGTTTTGTGTATCATCACAAAATTTGGCAAGCTTGCAGTAAACATTACAAGTTTTTTGTACACAAAAAAGTCAGAATTTTTTAATTAAGTATTTTTACTAAAGATTTGTCCATGAATATAAATATAGTCAAAGTGTTGACTGTTCTGAGTGCAAAGTAATTCTTACTTAAGATTAAAATTACTTTTCTTTGTCTGAAAAATTTTAAAATTTTATTTGCAAAACCTCTAAAACCTTCTGAATAAATATCAAACAATTTTTTTCAGTAAAATTTTATGTTTTATCTATTATTTTCTCTACCCTAACTCTTTATGGATTCAGCTGTTTTGACTGACCTTGTAACCACAACAAAAAACCCAAAAAAACAAATTACCTTCTTCTTTCTAGTACGATTGCAGGTTGTAACTTGAAACTACAATGGTTTATCCTAAACATCTTAAAACCTGTAACTTTCTACATCTGTTTATGCTTAATTTTATTGTTTTTATTACCCTTTGAATTATATCTAACTAATTATCCCACCAGACAAGTTGTAAATCACTTTACTTTATTGAATGATATAATGCACAAAATTTTTTTTATCTTACCTAATCTAACCTTATCTAGCCTAATATGTTTCTAATCTTTACATTGTAGTTACTTTTATAATAACAACTAAAGAACATACATGAAAAAATGGAAATATAGTACTTACATTTACCCTCTTATTTTTGTTGTTGTTGATTACCAATGAAATTTAAGTTCTTCTTTTTATACTAATGATACTAGTACACTAAATTTTCATTTACTTAAATAATTCATCTAACAACACAGAATAATAACATGCACAAATCAAACAATGTCCTATCACTATCATAATTTAACTGGCTTACTAACTATGGCATAATAGCCTTAAAATAATTCCCAAAACATCTTTCAATCTCAAAACTGCAGACGAAATAGACAATACACTCTACTGAATATATATATATATCATCTGATAGATTAAAACTTTGGTTTTCTATTGGTTATAAATAATATAGTATAAAACATCAAAGAGAACTATTAGCAATTTATGAAAGAAAGGATACAAAAGGTGAATGTGGCAAGTGGGTCTGATATTCTAGTTTATGGCTGTGTAAACAAATAAAAGCAAAAACTATAGCAATTAAACTTTGCCTGAGTAATATGTATATTATAATGAAAATTTAAGTTAAATTACAAACTTCATAGATAGGTAATAAATAAATTAGAGAAGGGAGGATATAAACCTAGAGAAAAAAATGTCACAATTCTCACACTAGGGGAGATAGAGAACTTTTTAAAATATTTCCTCATAAGATTAAGAAATTAAAACTTGTATAATGTTAAAATTTAATATATTAAAAATGTTTTGATGTCAAGTTTATTCACATATGTTCATAATAAAGTAGCTTAACTAAATTTTTAATATAACTCTAAAAGGTTGTGACATGCACTCTTTGACCACACTGCATCTGCCAAATCCACTGCAAACAATGCTTTTTCCCTTATACAAAGGTCTTCCATCCAACTAGCATATGACACACATAATGGTTATACAAGAAGCTTGTGTGTGCATGTGTTTGTTAGGGTGAAAGCAGTATAATTGTATATTTAGCTTTTAAAAAACCAATAAAACTTACAAAAAACTCATGTAACCACATAATACAATAAAAAACTAAACATAACTGATGTAACCATATAATGTACTAAACTGAAAACATGAATAATGTAGTCACCATAATTGTATGGTGGATTCATTAGGAAGAAAACAGCATATTTATACATACATACAAGAAACTGCATAGTAAATCCATCAAGGAGAAAACAGTATAATTATAAATGTAGCTAATATATACACAAGCAACTGTACGGTAGAACCGTTAGGGAGAAAAGAGTATAAATGTAGCTTATATATAGAAAAGCAACTGTGTGCTATATTCAGGAGAAAAAAAAAAGTTGCTACGATGGAATGTTTAAACAGAATGTTGGTAAGGATTTACTTAAACTTAGACTTATTATAACTTTCTCAATATTCCATTCACCTGTGAGGGTGGTATTTTTCCACAGAATCTCATGTAAAAATAATTCTAGCATCTAAAAGTTGATTCATGATAAATGTATAGTTCAAACATGTCACTTCTGCTCTTGTTAATATACTTAACAGCTCTGACACATTGATTGAAGGAATAGGAACATGAACAATGTAGAATCATGACATTAATCAACTTTTCTGAGTTATTGACAAAATATTCACGTTCTCATGACAAGACATAACAAGATTAAAGCATGTTAAAAAGGAGCTTCCAAAGAAACTGTTTTGATATAAGTTTTTCATCTTCATAGAAATATTGGAAATGTTCATATTAAATAATAAATCAAGGTCCAGAAACAAATTAACCAGGAAAATAAATTGATATCATCTCTTCGACCAATAAAACGGCTATTCAATGTAAAGTTTTGAGTAACAACATAAATATGTGTGCAGTTTAAAATAACTACCTGTAACAGAACAGATTAGAAATTGTGCAAAATATCTGTACACATAACATCCTAATTTGATTATTCTAGAATTCTGGTACTGATGTTGAAGTACACTCCACTGTGCCTATAAATCGTTAAAGTAAAAATTACTTTCCTATCAGTTGTGGCAGTGTGATAACATGCTATATTTTAAAAAATGTGGACCAGGGTTATATTAGCTACTTATGTGAGAGCTGTATGTCAACAGCTTCCCACTAATGACTTAGTTTTTTGAAAAAAAAAAGTGATGTAAAAACCAAAGTTAGAATGAAAATGCTTTTGTTATTCAATCTTTATTTACACCTTTGACCCTAATATCAATGTGGCGTGCTACATAAAATAAATTAATCGATTACTAAGATGTAGAAATTCATTTAAGTTCCCTAACTGTACAAAGATATAAATAAGAAAACTTACAATGCAACCAGCATAGCTTCTTCCTCAGCTTTTTTTATGTTCTCCAGTTCACACCTGGCTGATGGTTTTTGATTTGTTTTTTCACTTCTGTCTTTGTTATACCATGTTAAATCCTTGCCCTTCTGCCATCTGCCCACTGGTGCTTTTAAAGAATGTCCTGTCGCAAGAGAATATACTGCAATGATTCCATTTTTTCTTTCTTTTTAACATTACAAGTCTTAGAAATGTACATCATTGACTTGAAATATTAGATTTCAAATAACCTTTTGATTTAGGTTTTCATGTATTCTGCAAAATTCAACACTAACATATTATTATGTAACAATAACATTCTTGTAACCCGAGTGCTTTCAAAAGGTGGACTTTCTTCTTCAGGGGCAAACTGAATGAATGATATATAAAGGGAGTTGAGAGACAATCATGAAGGTCACACAGGGTTCAAGGAAGTGCTTTTGTATATTTTTCAATGTACTGTCATAGGGTGTTTCATTTCTGGTGCAACATGGCAGGAAACGAGATCGTTATGTAAAAAGGTGTTAGAGATGTTTTTCTTTAGAATTGGTCAAGAAAAACTATACTTGAGTGTTGTTAAAGTAAAATAAAGGTGACACATGGAGATTCACTGAGAAAAATATTTTAAACAGATCAGTTTCTAAAGACAGGAATGGAAAATTATCATATATAAATAGTATTATAAAGTATCAAGGGTAAACATTGAGAGTTTACATTACTTGAAAAAATAAATAAAAACTATTTTTCTGACAGAGAACAAACCAAGGATTGGAGATCATTGATTCCAGGATCTAGAGTTATTCCATACAGTTGAATAGTGTTTAGATTAGCAATCCAATAAGTTTTTTTACCTCTCTATCAGCTTTAGTTTTAAAGTTGGTTTCAATGCCAATGAGAGTAACATTGTTAATAGAATGTCCAAGTTGGTTAAAGAAATAACCAACAGTAAGATCTTTTTTGGTGTTAATAGAAGACTGATGGTTGTTGAAAAATCCTCTATTAATTTGTATTTATATATTTTTTCTTGTAGTGTGAACTCTCAATGACTAACTATAATCTATCTAATACTTACTATTTATTTATAATAATTTTCCATGCCTGTCTTTAGAGGTAATAATATAACTACCTGACATCACATGCTACTTATATTACAGAATCAGTCTAGTAACAATATAACTAAATGACATCATATGCTACTTTTGCTACAGAATCTCTGGGCTGATCCTTATGAGCCTAGTAACATAACTAAATGACATCAAATTCACATAAATATAATATTTAAAGGTATCCGCTGTGCAGGAACTTGTCCCATTTGCATTTTATTACTGCCACCCAAACTAACTTACTGTACTGCCCTCTGAGTGTATTTAGATTTTTTTTATAAGGTGTTTCACAAAGAATTATCTATGAACATTAAATTTGTAGGGGTTGTGAAAGACTATTTAACTGGACTGAAGGGTTGCTTCATTTCTCCTCATACCAAAATTGCAACATGTAACTTTTCAAAGCAGCAAATGCTCTCATGAAAATTTTATATTTACAAAATTACAACCTTCTTAGTGGTCGAAAAACTTCAGTGTTTTACAAGTTTCAGCATTTTGCCTTCATCGAGAATTTAATTTCTTTTACCCCTGAGCAGGCCATAAGTTTAAAAAATAATGACATTTTTTAAGTGTAAGTTAGAAAAATGTGCATTTTTAGTACTCAGATGCTAGTCAATAAAAAAAAAGTATTCACCCAAATAACTTTCTCTGTGCTTGTCAATCTTGATGTCCTCCCAGTTAAATTGATCAGCTCCACCTCTAACTCCACCTCTGGTTGGGTGATACATAGTTTCGCCACTTACTCAGAAGTTGTTCCTTCGTAGATGGCTTTGGTCAACTACCGTTTAATTCTGTCCACATATAATAATTATCTTGCGTAAATTGATCGAAAAATGTTCAATCTTCAATGTTTAAGTTCTGAAAAATGAAAATGTTACAAATATACAAATTTTAAAGGTGATAAAATCAATTAATTTTTTATTATAAATAGAAGACCTAAAACATTACTAGACATTATGTGTTATAACAAAATATCAAAGTTTGAAATGAATGCCTATTCATTTTGAATTGCTGGCATATTTTAAATCTGTGCTCATTTGTCTGTAATCACACATAAATAACTGATAGACAATGATAGAAAGATACAATTAGATAAAAGAACACACAAACAAATAATGAGCTGACGATGAAACTTTTTTTTTACACATCATTATGTACTGTGTAGGGTAGTTTTTAAGTTTATTTGCTATCTAGCAAAAATAACAGCAGCTGAATAACCATTGACACCTAATCATTTTAATGTAGTCTGTGGTATATATAAAGCCTCATAATCTACTACATGCATACATATGTAGCTGTGTGCAGGCCATGGATGTAATCTAATGTATATATGACAGGCACGATATATTTCATAGTGATTATTTATTAAATGTATTGATGTCGTGTATTTATTTATGTATGGGGTTCCTGCCTTTTCGGACACAACACTGCTGACAGGATTACAGTTATTTTTTACCATTACATGATCAATTACAGCCATGTTATGCAAACATCTAGGCTGTCTACTACAACAAAAATCTTTAAGCTATAGTTTAAAAGATAGCACCAAGCTCAGTTTCGAGTATCGGATTGGCAATCACGGTGGTGACTGATGGTAAATGTTAAATTATAGCCAAAATTGCATAATTGCAAATTTTATAGATACTGCAGCTGGAGTAGCCATCTTGAAACTGACTATAAGGAGTGAAAAGAATCACGCAAGCAGGAGATGGCAAATATTATGGTGATTCTATGCAAAAGTGAGGCAGAAATTTTGTAGCTATATCTCTTATTTAGTTTCAAATAAAGTATGAAGCAGCAACAACCCACCAGAGATTAGGTTGTAGAAGTCTCATGACCCAAACTCCATCAGAAATGGAGGGGGGGAGGTATATTAATATGATGAACTCATAATTGTTAATTTACACATTTTTGACCTTGGAGAGTGTGCAGAATGTCATTCTAACAAGAAATCTGGTCAGCTGCAGCAAAACCATGGCCAGTATAGAAGAAGAGGAAGGGAGAAATATAACAACTATAAGAAATATTAAAAATTCTTATTTGTATACATATCCTATTATATTATGACACATTGTCTTATATTTACATTGAATATACATGCATGCATATATGTGTGTGTGTATATATATATATATATATATATATATATA